CCCCCCGCCGCGCTGCCCGCCCCGTCGGAAGGGCTGAGCGCCGCGGCCCCGCCGGTACCCGGCCGCCTTCCCCGGGGCCTTTCCTCGGAAAGGAGCCGCACACGGCGCCCGCCACCGCCTCGTGCGGGCACTACAGGATCCCCGGGGGGGTGGCCCGGTGGCACCTGTGCCAGGGGGCACCAGGGACTTCCCCTACCTCATCAGGTCTCAGCCCCAGCATCCCCCAGCCCGTGCAGAGGAGGGATGCAGGGCCGCCTGCCCCACCAGGGCCCCCCTGCAGGCCCTGGGCTGCTCCCTGGCACCCCCCGGGCCCCTCGACCCAGAGCCACAAAGGAAAGAAAGACACGTTTCTATTTACAAAGTATATATTTAAACAGACATAAAAAGCAGGTCTCATACGGACATTCACAGCTGGCAGAAGACACGTAGTTAAGCTTCACTTCTGGGACTGAGATTTAGCCAAATCGGGTTTTGTACAAGTCTTAGATTTAAATAATTCACACACACACACACCCCCACACACACTCAGTATATACGTCGCTATATACATACACACAGATACACCCACATGGATGTTTTGCTCCACACGTGTGCCCGGAGCCCGGGGGCCCAGGGGGCTGGAGCTCTGCTGCAAGGGCAGGAACTGCCCAGCCCTGCCACGGCTGCAGGAGGATGGGCAGCTCATCACCATCCCTCCAACAACACGTGTGCCCTGTGTCAGCTGCCCCTGGCACCAACACCAGCACATTGGTTCTTCACACAAACCAAGTTAAAAATCTCAATTTTACAAAATATGCCTTAAAAAAAAATAAAAATAAAAACAAACAAAACCCAAAATCCAGAACTCACAGCCATGGCTCCCTTTGTACAGTCAATAGAGCATCCCTCTGTCAGGCCATCTGACAGAGGTCCCAAAAAAGGGATGGGGAGGGAGACTGAGCAAGGGGTAGCCACAGGTGGGCCTAAGAGCAGGGGCTGCTCCTTGCCCCAGTCCCCTCCCCACTGTCAGCTCCCCCTGTGCTTTCACCCCCTTAACCAGGAGCTGTTGGGAGCTCAGCTGGGGCCACCAGTGATGGCTGGAGGGATGAGGGGACCTGGCCCAGCCCCAGCCCTCAGGTGCTGCCAGACAGATTTGTGCTTTCCAACCCAAAGTGATGCTCAGACCAAGGCATCAGGATGGGGACACTGATCCACCACAACCGAAATCACAACACAAGGGAAGGACCTGCTCTCCACCCAGGTCAGGCTGCAACCCCACAGCTCCCCCACAGCTGCTGCACTTTGTTCAGAGCCACAAAACCCCCCAGTTATGCCCTGCCCAAGCCTGTGGAGAAGAACTGCAGGGTCCTGCCAAGCCAAGAGAAATAACTCAAAAAAGCCCCCAGAGTCAGCAGGGCTGCTCCTGCACAGGAATATTTTGCCTCTTGGCTATTGTTTAACTAGCATAAGAAAAGGGAAATATTTATTGTCTCTGAATGCATAAAGGTGGCTCTGGGACTTGTCAGAGATGTGGATATTACAAAACACTTCATTTGGAGTCTTCCAACAGCCTGAACTGAACTGTGTTTGGGGGGGGAGGGGGAATTAATAATTCACTTTCTATACCGCTATAAAGCATCTAAATATGGGCAGCGACATGTTACCCTCCTAAACCTCTCTGGCATTTCAAGAATGTAAACAGAAGGGGTTTTTTGTTTGTTTGTTTGTTTGTTTTCTAAGTGGGTGGGGGAACAAAATGAAACAACCAGACAAAATGAAAACAGATTCTCAGCTCAGTCCCATCTCCCACAACTGCTACGACAACTCTATTAAAGTGCATTTCAGTATCACCCCTCTCAGGAACCTTACATACACAAACTTCCTCCTCTTCCACAAGAAAAGGTAATTCAAGTTAATACTCCTCTAGAACAGTTTTAGCCTTTTTATGGATTTCTGCTTTTTCCCACCCCGACTTTGTAGCAACATTATTTTTTTTGTTAGACTGGAAACACCCCCTCCCCAACAACACTGGAAATTCAAGTGCGTACTTCAACTGTCAAGGGCAACAGTTCTGGATACAGCACACTTGATTGTACAAGCAACACCTTCTATCACAATCAAGAAACCAGGGCACTTTGCCCTCCAAGGGAGTAACACTTCCCCCTCCACCATCCTTAGCATCATATGAAAAATAACAGTTAAAAAAAAACAACCCCAGAACATAATTAGCTACGAACATAATTCGTTATGTACACCGGCTCCTGCAACAGATGCATTAACTGTTAGTTCTCAGTTTTATTGTCCTTTCTAAGAGCAACTGAGCAGTCACTGTTGTCTCTATTTAAATAAAACAACTCAGATTTGAAATATATATATATAGATATATA